GCTTTTTGCTGTTTGTTTTAATTTTTTTCTTAAGCTTGAAGTTAACATTTTCTTTCATTAAGAATTGAAGGCAGACTCACCCAGTGTTTTCAGACCTGTTGATCCAAAGGTTTCTTAATAGATGAAAAGTAGTTAATAAGCAATTTCTGAATGTGATTAGAAAAGGAAGTATGTGAACTTAGTGTCCTTTTAAAGGCACTGACCAAGGTTTGAGCAAGATGGCTATTCCCTTGTCTCCCAATGCTCAAAACCCGCTGGAAAATACTGTCTTAAGGTCTCCTCATGAGGCGCAACCGTCTGGAGCACTTGTGGGCAATCTCCCATCCTCTCTTTGTCTGGAGAGGTTCGATGAGCTGGTCTACTCACTCTTCGTTCTTTGCCATGGTTGTTGGCTCCACTTTTCAGAGCCATCTTCAGTCCACCATTTCTTCCTCCAAAGTCCAATCCAATCCAATCCATCACCATTGGAGATTGGGTAAAAAATGGATCTAGCAATAGCTTCTTGAGGAGGAGACATATCATTGCCTCCTTCAAGGCAGATGGAACAACTCCATCACTCAAGGATGAATTTATCACTTAACTGACCCAGCCACATTTACCGCCTAGGAGCCCTTAGGCAAGTAGGAACAATATAGGTGCAAGAAACAGGTGGCCAGGTTAACTGTCTTAAGGATCCTGTCCACCTTCTCAGGAATCAAAGAATCAAACACTTTCCAGGTAACAGGATAAGAACATGACTTGGTCAGCTTAGTTGGGCCTGCCTGTAACTCAGAGAGGGTCTGAGCATTCAGAGTCTTGTCAGGCAAATGTTTCACAAATTTATTGATGCTCACTTGGAGCCTGAATTCCATACAGGGAGTCCTCATTTACCAATGGTAATTGGGACTGGGAACTCCATTGCTAAGTGACGCAGTCATAAGGCACAATGTCATGTGACCATGCCGACTTATAACAGCAGTTCCATCAGTCCCACTTGCTGTCGTTAGGTGAATCTTGCACGATTGCAGCATCTTATGGTCATGTGACTGCCATTTGCAACCTCCTGCTGGCTTTCCCATTGACTTTGTTTGTCGAAAGCTGTCAGTGAAAGTCACAAATAGTGATCATGTGATTGCAGGACTCTGTTGCCAAGTCATAAGTCCCCCTCATTCAGTGCTGTTGTAACTTCGTATGGTTGCTGAATGAGTGAAAGTTAAGTGAGGACAACCTGTAGTCAAAATTCAATACTGCGAGTATTTTTCTTGGGGCAAAGCTTCCTCCTCCAACTATTATGTTTACAGAAATAAAGCAGAAATATATAGTTAGATGCTTACTTGCTGTAAGTTATAGAGCAAAAAAGTAACTGGATACTTTCTTCATTTTAGCATCTATATATTTTTCTTAATCAGGAAATAAAGCATAAGAACAGAATATACTGTAACTCTGAAGGACATCATTTGAGACAAATGAATACTCTGGAGTATATTTTGTAACACATTGAGTACTCTTGATTTTTAGGTGATGCTGTAGGTAGCATACAAAGTCAGTTGCCTCGCATTGTCACCGGTGAAGGTCTTGGAAGCCTGACTGGCGAGCAGGAAGCCCAGAATATCCACAAAGAAAATTTGGAAAGGTTGCAATCAATGTCCAAAGAACAGATCTTGGAGGAGCAGAAACAATTGATGGCTCAATTGGGTAAATTTTTTTGCTGACTTACCATTTATCTATCTATCTATCTATCTATCTATCTATCTATCTATCTATCTATCTATCTATCAATCAATCATATTTATGTAGCCGCCCATCTCACACAAGGTGACTCTGGGCGGTGTACAACAATTAAAAAATAAATACATAAAAACAATTACACATGAAAAACTGTAAAAACACACAAAATAGGATAAAATTAATAGGGGAGCAGTCGTAAAATCTCTCCAGTCCCCTGGGAGCCCCAGGCCTGATCACATAGTCAGATCTTGAGGGGCTTACGGAATGTTAAGAGGGATGGAGCTAATCTCACTTCTGGGGGGAGAAGATTCCACAAGGAGGGCGCCACAGCAGAGAAGGCCCACCTCCTGGGAACCGCCAAATGTAATTCTCTGGCAGATGGGATCTGCAGCATACCTTCTCTGCCAGATCTGATGGAACGGGCAGATGTAATCGGGGAGAGGCGGTCCCTCAGGTAAGCCGGCCCCATGCCATGAAGGGCTTTAAAGGTCAAAAACAGCACCTTGAATTGGACCCAGAAGCAAACTGGCAACCAGTGCAGCTCACGAAGCAGAGGTATAGTGTGTATCACCCTAGGGGCACAGGTAACTGCCTGTGCTGCTGCATTTTGCACTAGCTGAAGCTTCCAGATACTCTTCAAGGGCAGCCCCATGGAGAGCGCATTACAGAAATCCAAACGGGAGGTGACCAGGGCATGAGTGACAGTGACTAGGTCCCTCTGATCTGGGAATGGGTGCAACTGGTGCACAACACAAAGCTGTGCAAAGGCCCTCCTAGCAATGACTGCCACTTGCTCTTTGAGCAGGAGTTGTGAGTCCAGGAGGACCCCCAGATTGCACACAGGGTCTGTCTGGGGCAATGTGATCCCATTCAGTACCAAAGATGGCATAACTCTAGCACCAGAAGGCCTCAAAACCCACAGCCACTCAGTCTTGCCAGGGTTCAGTTGAAGCCTATTGTTCCCCATCCAGACCCTCACAGCCTCCAGGCACCAGGATAAGACATTCACCGCATTGCTTAATTTGCCAAGGGCAGAGATGTATAATTGGGTATCATCAGCATACTGATGATATCTCACCCCATGGTGATGGATGAGCTTACCCAGCGACCTCATGTAGATGTTAAATAGGAGTGGGGAGTGCACTGAACCCTGTGGCACCCCACATAATGGGCCGAGGGCGGGATCTCTCCTCCCCAACCACCACTGACTGGAATCGGCCCTGGAGGAAGGAGGTGAACTAGCACAACACAGTGCCGCCCACCCCCAATCCTCTGAGCCGATCCAGAGGGATACCGTGGTTGATGGTATCGAAAGCTGCTGAGAGGTCAAGTAGGGCAAGAATGGATGCACAACTCCCATCCTTTCCTCGCCAGAGATCATCCAAAAGCGCGACCAATGCTGTTTCCATCCCACACCGATGCCTGAATCCTGACTGAAAGGGATCCAGATAATCTGCTTCATCCAAGGACCTCTGAAGCTGTTGACGACCACCTTCTCAATCACCTTCCCCAAAAAGGGGAGGTTAGATACTGGATGAAAATTGTCCAGTATAGTGGGGTCTAGCGATGGCCTCTTGAGGAGCAGGTGAACCAAGGCCTCCTTAAGAGGTGAGGGAACAACCCCCTCGCTCAAATATTCATTAACCATCGCTAGAACCCACTCACATGACACCCCCCAGGCTGCTTTCACAAGCCAGGAGGGGCACGGATCTAAAAAGCAGGTTGCTGAGCTCACAGCCCCAAGGATCCTGTCCACTTCCTCAGGTCCAACAGGTTCAAACCGTTCCCAGATAACAGGGCAAGACTCC